TTACCTAGTCAAAGGCACCTTGGAACTACAAAAAGGATGTTGAGGTATTTGAAAAGAAATATTGGCTATTGTATTTGGTATTCAAGAGATAGAAGTAGTATACTGCAAGGGTATTTTGATAGTGACTAAATAAGGAATTCAAATGATTGCAATAGCACGACATAATTTATTTTCTCATTTGGTTCTTAGAATTCAAAGAAACAGTATGTGGTAGTCCAGCTATTGCTGTTGTAATATCCGGGTCTGCAATTTGATCCAATATTACTTTTAAAATTCTAAAAATGTATAAGAATTCATTTTTAAAATTAATAAATTTTAATTTAATGTGGAATTATTGAAAAAAAATAGACTGAAGATAAGATTGAAAATAATTTTTTTAAAAAAGGTAAAAATTTATATTTGAATTGTGTTTTTAAAAGAAAAATCGAAAACTGGGAGTAATAATGCAATTAAGAAAAAATTTACCATGTAGGACCACCCAGCCAGCAGTCTCGATGAACTGGAGCGCGCCGCATGATAAGGCATGCTGACTCGGTGCCACGCAGGAGACCATGCTGGTGATCTGCGTGTCCCGCAATCGGATGACCCAGAAGTGTTCCCGCACGCATGGATGGTCCAGATCCGTTACCTCCTAAGGCACGATCGGACGATCACGATCAAACGCAATAAACGGTTCAAATTCGTTCCTTTTTTAAACGTGATCGGACGGTTGAGATTAAACGCGATGAACGGTATAGATTAACGTGAGATATATATAAATATTTTGCATCACACTGAACCTAAACCCTAGCCGTTAGCCTCCCGTTGTAGAAGAAGAACTAATCGCTGGAGAAGGGAGTCAACCGCCGACCGCTGCTGCACCGGAGCCACCTCTGACTGCCAAAAAAGGTAAAAATTCTTCTATCTACTTGGAATTTAATTTCGAGCATCCCATGGCCAGATCGGAGTAAAAGAAACGGCAGGTGAGCCGAAAATCACAGGCAAAGCCTGGTGGTGTCACCGCGAGTAAAATTCGCAACCTCCTCATATGAGCCCCTTCTTGTTTCCTATTTTGTGCAATTTTCTACCATTGTATTCATCATTATGTTTTTTACAAGTTGATTGAAGAAAGACTCCCAGCTGCGAAAGTGAGCCGGCAGAGCTGCTACACCCGGAAGTCCTCACGCCGGTAGGTTTCTATTTTCTAATTTTTTTTCAGCCAATCGAAGCCCCCTAACATTTTTTTTCGCATGAATATGTATAAAATAGGCCGAAAATGGCCAGACCGAGGCAAGCCGCTGTGCCAGAACCCCAAAATTTACCGAAAAGGGTTTTTTTTACCGATTTTGGACTTCTATAGTATTTTTAAGGACGTGAAGCGTGTTTTAATCTCTACAAAAAAATTAAAAAAATCCAGAGACTACCAGTAAGTGCAGTAGAAAGGTCGGTGTTTCAGACACCGATTTGGGTAAGAATCGTTCACATTATTTTTTCTCATGGAATTGAAGCTTAATAATAGATAATATTGTATTTTGTGTAATTTAGAAAACTTTGAAATAATTACAGGTTACTAATGGAATCGAAACTGATTAATTATTTATCTGTTTGTCTTGTATAACTGATTGTTTATTTTTACAACTTTAAATACATGAGAATATACTGGAATAGTTAAATGATTCAATTGTGCTTCTTTAATGTATATTTATTGCTTGTCTTGCATGATTTACGATTAATTTATGAAACTGAAAATTAATATGTAAATAAAAAATTACTTGGTTATGTGAATTAATGAATGATTGTGTTACTGGATATCCTCCGAGATGGTGGACGGACCGAGTACATATAGAAACCTTACAGTGAACATTGCCTCATACCAGATGGGTATCGAGGATGATATTTTTGACGCTCATACCGAATGGGGTATTGAGGGATGATATTTTTG